AAAAAAACATTATTCCGGAGTACAATTAGTACCAAGATACATGCATTTTAAGCCCAAAGTACAGATGCTGAAATACAGTTGCTTGTGATGAAACGGTCCGGGATATCCTTGCAATACTTCTGCAGAAGCGGCAAAAAAATAATGCCGGAACCAGGCATGTATAATTTACCCCAAAAAGTAATTAAGTTAAGTTACTGAGCATTTTCGTGAAAAGTAGTTTGAGTAAAGTAGAAACTACTCAAATAGAAAGTAATTGAGAAAATGGCTAATTACCGTAAAAAAGTAGCGAATTACTTTTGAAGTTATTTTTATGTGCTTTTTATGGTAAGAAGAAAGCACAGAGGTTTTGATTCTTCAGCGAAATTGTGCTATCCAAATATGAATCGGCTTTTTTTTTTGACAGAAATGCTTTAATAGCTGGTTTTTCTTTTGCGTGCCGAATTGTTTTTTACTTTCTTGTTTGTTTGGTCAATGATCGTACTGCGAATGTGTCATTTCTACTTTGAGGTTTAGCACTGTCTGAGCTTGATTTTAGAAAGTGTTGGCTTGTTTACAGTGTTGCGTAAAGTGCATCTAAAAAGTACTTGATGTAGAGTTCAAAGAAAAGAGAGGTTATGTACTTCAAGCAAAGTAGTTAGCACACCGGGTGCAATGTACTTGAAGCAACGTATATAAATACAATATATTTAAAGGAAAAGTACAAGCGCTTTTACCACAATCTTTCATGATGCCCTTTCATTCCCTATACAGTGTTTTTTAACTGGTATGCTTTGCTCCAGGGTAGTCGGAGTGCATCAGTTTTTTACGGAAATGGCAGCAAATATTGTTTAAGGCCAAGTCGCCGCAGAGTAGTTGTTTTACTCTCGCTGACGAGCAATCTGACGCAATCAACTTATTGGGCACTTTTTCCATCGGTCTTACGGCCGCCATTACTTCACTCAGATAAATGACCTGATGACGTCTCGAAAGAGCGAGTTTTCACGCGAAGATATCGCCATTTTTTTTGTTTTCAAATTCGGGGAATGTAAATTGTAGTCGGGAGTTTGACTTTCCTCGGAAAATGCAAGTAGATGTTTAGAGAATTTACTTCAAGTAAAGTACAATTTTTCTAAACAGTAGTACTTTAAGGACCATGTAAATAGAGTACTTCCCAACACTGCTTGTTTATTATATTTTATATAAAACGTTGGGGGAATTACTAAAGGTCTCTCGAACGATCTTTGAATCTTTGAAGATTTGCATATTCTGAGTTTTGGCAGGAAAGGTAACGCAAAAAGGTGATCTTTGCGTTGCCCTTCAGCACGCGATTCTTCGAGTACAGCACAAACTACGGGAGCACCAGATGAGCTTCAGAGCAGGTGCTGCATTTTGTTGCCTGCTCTGAGTGAGGATGCAGTTTGTGCACCTCCTGTAGTGGGGCGAGAGTTTCTACGTGGGGAAAAGCGGGGGACCAGCCTTTTCTTCAAATGGGTCAAAAGTCCTCGAGTTTCCGGACACAGAGAAACGCCAGTCTTCGGTGCTAATCCCTCATTTACTCGGCCTCTCTTGCGTCCTGTCTGTTCGCTCCTCGCTCGATCATAGCAGTGTTGTTGCGGCGGGGGGGGGGGGGGGGGGGGGGGGGGGTGGGAGGGTTGTGGCAATTTTTGGGGGGGTTTCGAACTCTCCAACCATATTGTCCCCCCCCACCTTTCCTACACCACATACTTACCCGCTTTGCAAATATGAGCTGATCTTTCAATATCTTATCTCCTTTGTGCAGGAATCTTTGTTGA